AAAAAAAAAAAAAAAAACCTCCCAAAAAAACTTGTTTCAATAAAAAAGAAAGACTAAATGATAAATAAATAAAAAGTATTAAAAATGTCCCATTTTCCTTTTTAGCTTTGTGTAACGTCTGGAGCGGGCACTTCTGAAATTGGTATATAGTCTTGAGCCTTGAACATGAACAAGAATATGTAGTCTTTTTGGGAAGGAAAATTAGAAGAGAAATTGATATTGAAGTAATCGTTGGGGTTTGATCAAGTCATTTCAAAATTCTTATCTCATATCCCTATCCATTTAGATCATGGTATAGTCATTTAATTTAAGGACAACTTCAAATAAACTTACTACGGTCTTTTCTTCGAGGAAATGATATCAAATGTTCATTTATAATTTAAATATAAAAAATATTATTAAGATCTCTTATGTATTATTTATACAAATCCCATGCATTATTTTTTCTCCCTTTTCTTTCTTTGTAATTACAACAACAACAACAACAACAACAACAACGACCCAGTAAAATCCCACTAATGGGGTCTGAGGAAAGTAGTGTGTACGCAATCCTTACCCCTACCCGAAGGAGTAGAGAGGAAATGAATTAACCATAAGGCCTCATCTAGACCCTAAGGTTCACGTGGATGAAGACATTTTAAGGCCCCGTTTGTTCATATTATTTTTTTTTAAAATGTGTTTGTCCACGAAATTTTGCATATTTTTGGAAATTTTTCGAAAATAAATTTTTCAAAAATCACTTTTTCAAAATTTTCAAAATTGTTTTCTTCACTCACAAAACTGCAATATTTTTTCAAGTAAAATGCATGTTCAAACATAATTTCACATTTCAAATACTATTTTTTTACTTAACTCCAAATACTAATTTTTTTCAAAAACTACAATTTTTTATGTCCAAACGCCTATGTAACTCATTATATAGAACATTGTCTATCCATTGTGCAATTTCTTTTACAACCAATCAAAGAGCTCTTTTTTACTAGCTCGATCAATTCAAAATCACTTCGCGTGTAGTTGAGTTCTCTATAAAAAATTTCTCTATTTTCAAAGCTTGAAGTCGGAATATCTAATTAAGGATCAATTCATCTTATCACATCCTTAGTAATACCTAATGGCGGATCTACTCTATAAGTTATGGGCGCTTGTGCACTCATTACTTTTAGAACCAAACACTATTAATTAAATAAAAAATCTAGTAATTTATATAAATACATTAACTGAGCGTCAATCTCAATAGTAATTTTCAGATTAAAAATTGTTCAGCACCGCACGATTTGAAAATATTGAACGTACGCGATACGAGTCACTCCAACTTGCACTTGCCTATGCCCACTAGGCACTAACTGTTGATTAAAGAGCAATTTAGGCCCCCAAACTAGATCAATTAATAATAAAATTATAATGGCATTCTTGTGTTTTTTCTAAACTCTGAGGGCTTAATAATTAACTTAATCTTTTTATTATACTACAGAATTTTACCTTCATAGGTTGCCCTGCTCCTTCTTCCCCTGTCTCTCTCTTTTTGCATAAATACTGTTCTTTGTAGTAATAAAGAAACAAAGGAATTAAAAAACAAAACAAAACTCGGGACTCTTCAGTTTAAGGTTGGTATGCCAACTGCTGATTCATAATACTATCAAACTTCACTTCTATTCCTTAAATTAAATTCTTTCTGCTTGCTTCTAAGCTTCTTTACTCTGTTATCCCATTTCAGTATTTTCCCTTCTTTTATTTTTTTCAATAAGATAAAGTTGAAATCTTTCTCAGATTTTTGCTTCAATTTGGGAAATTTGAGGGAAAAATCTAAACTTTAAATTAAATTGGTTATTGGTCTGATTTCCCTGTGAATACTTTCTTGATAGATCTGCTAAAGGTAGGATTTTTATACTTACGATTTGTTCTTTCTATTCTTCTTTTTTAGACAGGGTTGATGCCTCTTTATCTTTTTAATTTTTTTTTCCATAGTATTGTGGATTCTTGAGAAAATGAAGCTCTGTTTTAAAGTGGGGGTTAAATCAAGAATGGCAAAAAGTTAGTTTATTCTGTTGTTTTGGAATTTATGTCAGCTTAAGGAAACGTATGCATTCAATTTGAAGCTAGTTTTAATGTGTAGTTTGTATTGATAGTAACTGATTAAGGGAAATAATTGAACTCATTCTTTGTGAATAAAATATATAAATAATTAAAAGGCTGTGGATACATGGGCCATTTTATCTGGTTCATGTTCTGCTCATTCTTTTAATTTTGATGAATTAATTTTGTCCCTGAAGAATGAATATGTTCTGCTTAATTAAATTTAGCGTGTTTTATTCGACTGTTGGCATTGTCTGTATCTTTGAGCTTTCTTGCTAAGTTCAGTGTACTTCATCTTATTTGATCTTTCTCACAAGTTACAATGCCTTACCATCAATAAGAATAGCTTTTATTTTATTTTATAAAGACCATCAATAAGAAAGGTTCTCTATTTATTTTCAATATTTTCTTTCAAATCATGGCTCTTTTCTTTTTTCCCCTTCTTAGTTTTCTATAACAATAGTTTATGTGATCCATGATAGATTTCCTTTTCCCTTTAAAAAAAAATAATCAAATCCTTGTCCTTTTTGCTAGAGAGAATATAGTGGATCTTTGCAAAGGACTGCTGCTGTAACTAGTTTTTTGCTTTCAAGGTTAGTAGATCAACGATAAGAATTTGTCGAGTGGACAAGCTTAAATTTCATGAACGTTTTAACATTAGACAATTCTGAGGATATAAGTCACTGAGTACATTGGACATTGATCCTTTTCTGACAATGAGTGTGAATTTAGTTTATTTAAAAAAAATAAATTAAAATACTAGTATATAGAGTTGAAGAGCGTCTGCGCTAGCACGATATAAAGTAGATGAAGTAAGACAGCCTAAAGAAGTTTGTGTTGAGTAGTATACTGTGACCAGCTTAGGTTGATAATGCAAATCTATGGTTTCTTATTGATGTGTAATTGCTTCTGCTAGCATTCATCATCTTTTTGTCAAATTGCCTTGAAACGGTTTTCCTTTGCTGATCTGTTACTTCATAGACATGAATTTCCATGCTCTGAGATAATAGCATGCAAATTTAAGGTTCGTATTGAACCGGATATTATAGTGTTTCGTGTAATTGCTACTAGTAATCTCACACCTCTTATATAGTAGTAGAGGTATTGGTAGAATACCTTGAGTTGTTAACTGGCTGTAATAGACCTTGAATATTATGTGCTTATTAGTTCCTTAATCTAACTTCATTTTCCTCTACTAGCTCTTTTGATAAACACTGTACATCTATTGTGTAGGTTGTTGTGTTCCGACACTAGAGATCGTCCCTTCCTTTTTCAACTTTTGAAACGCTGCTCGGCTCAAAAGCTCTCCTCTGTGGAAGCCATGAAAACCTTGTCACATGAATAATCCTTGATATGCCGTCTACATTAATTTTCGTGGTGTTCCAATAACCGTGCACTCTGAAGAGCTAGATACCAGACTGCGTAGTCGTATATAGACGAGGCAGAAACAATCTTTCCAATGCAAGCATCACGACGACTCAGAAGATCATCCATGTCAAATACTCTTTACTATCAACCTGTGCAGAAGGCAGAGGCTTACTGTCTGCCTCAGTTTCAAACTTTAGACAACCATTTGAGCTACATTAATGGCAGCCATGGAGTTTATCACTCACCGTCAACTGCTAGTTTCTCATCAAACGGAAGCTCCATTTGCCATCAAGAATCTCAGCCATACCTATCAGATGTTTGCCAATCCTCTGAGATGACTAACTACGGCTCCCCCAGTAGTGGATCTTGCATTACAGATGGTGTAAATGATTTCATGCACAAGTTAAAGGAATTGGAATCGGTGATGCTGGGACCTGATTCAGACTTTCTGGAGAGTTACGATAATTCCTTGCCGAGCAGTATAGCCTCCACAGAAATTAATAGCTGGAGGCAAATGATGGAGGCCATACCTAGACGGGATTTGAAACATGTCCTTATTGCCTGCGCAAAAGCAGTGTCTGATGGTGATTTGCTAACAGCACAAGTGTTAATAGCTGAGTTGCGTCAAATGGTGTCAGTGTCGGGGGAACCAATTCAGAGACTGGGAGCATACATCTTGGAAGGTCTTGTGGCGAGGTTGGCTGCATCAGGGAGTTCCATATGCAAGTCCTTGAGATGCAAAGAACCAGCAAGTTTTGAACTGTTATCTTATATGCACATGCTTTATGAGATTTGCCCTTATTTCAAATTCGGATACATGTCAGCTAATGGCGCCATTGCAGAAGCAATGAAGGATGAAAATAGAGTTCATATTATTGATTTCCAGATCGCTCAAGGGAGCCAGTGGGTGACTCTAATCCAAGCTTTTGCAGCTCGGCCTGGTGGACCCCCACATATACGTGTAACAGGCATCGACGATTCCACCTCAGCTTACGCTCGTGGAGGAGGGCTTAATATTGTGGGGCAGAGGCTGTCTAAACTCGCTAAGGCTTTCAAGGTGCCTTTCGAGTTTCATGCTGCTGCCATTTCTGGTTCTGATGTTCAAGTTGAAAACCTTGGAATTCAACCTGGCGAAGCACTGGCGGTAAATTTTGCTTTTACATTACATCACATGCCAGATGAAAGCGTGAGCACTGAAAATCATCGGGATAGACTATTACGGATGGTCAAAAACCTGAACCCCAAGGTGGTTACACTTGTTGAGCAAGAATCTAATACAAACACTGCTGCATTCTTCCCTCGATTCCTTGAAACCTTGGATTATTATACAGCCATGTTCGAGTCAATCGATATGACTCTACCAAGGGGACACAAGGAGCGCATAAACGTTGAGCAGCATTGTTTAGCGAGGGACGTTGTTAACATTATAGCATGTGAGGGGATTGAAAGAGTAGAGCGGCATGAACTTCTTGGTAAGTGGAAGTCGCGGTTTAGAATGGCTGGTTTTAGTCCATATCCGTTGAGTTCGTTGGTGAATGCTACAATAAAGAGATTGCTAGAAAGCTATTCTGATAAATATAGGCTTGAAGAAAGAGATGGGGCTCTTTATCTTGGTTGGATGAATAGAGATTTGGTTGCTTNATAGCGGAGAAAACAGGTTACTTCTCAAGTGTATCACTTGATCAATCAAAGTTGAAGCTTATTTCTTGGAAACCACTTATCCAGTATTACAATCACTACTAAAAAATAGGAATTAGCGACGGACAAATTACGTAGTTAAACAGAATAATTCGTCGCTAATTGTATTTAGCGATGGATAAGCGACGGATTATCAAGAAATTTCGTTAGCTACGAGCGATTTAACGACAAAGTTCGTAGCTAATTCCGGTTCTTTTTTGTAGTGAGTTGATATGCAATGTTGGTCTTGGAAGATTTCTTTTAGGTGCCATTTATGTTGTTTTCCACTCGGAAACAGCCTCTCTGTCTTTATAGGGTAGGGGTAAAGCTGCGTACATACTACCCTCCCCAGACCTCACGTATGAGATTAAGCTGGATTTGTTGTTGTTATGTTGTTTTCCATAAATAAAAACCAGTTAACATGAGGATACCTCTTGCAATATTCAGAATATTTTTACCAAGAGGATTCTTATTTTTGTGAAGGAGAGTGGAATGTTTCTTCCTTTTTCTTCAGTGATTATCATCGATTTTTTACACTTATAACAACATATAACTCTGTTATATAACTCTCCTAAACAAGTATTTATTTATTCAATTACGCAAAAGTTTTCTAGATCCTTTAGCTTGTGGGGTTCAATTTATTATGGTAAAACATGCTAAGTAGTACACTTACACTGTACACGTGCCTCTTTAAACATCGGTTAATACTCTTTTCCTCGCTATAAGCTTGACTCATGAGTATAAACATTTGTTGAATTAGTAAAAGTACTTTAAAAAAAAATTATATATATATGGTAAAATGTCTATCATCAAATGAAACAATATATGTTACTATTTTTGTTTTTTAGTGAAATAATGCTTTACTCAATGAAAAGGTTCAAGTCTTTTGAGATAGACTACAAGGAAAGAAAGTTAATTGAACGGAGTACGATTTAACGCTCCCATCTCAACTATTTTAACGTCACTCATACTCTTCTTTTCCCAGTAAATTAGACTTAGGATATAAATTATTTCTTGATTAGTAGAAGTACTTAAACTTTTTAGTGCAGAAAAAGTTAAAAATTTGGTAAATTATTACTCATATTTGAAGTAATATTAGTATTAACTTAAGTTAGATTGAAATTGTTTAGAGGAAATAAAGCTCCTCCAAATGAAAAGGATCAAATTTTTAAGCCGTGTTTAAAAGGAAAGGAAACTAGATTTATTTGGACAGAGGGCGTACGATTTAATGGCAATTTTCTGTATTTGCACATCTATATTATTGCGAAGACTAACCTTTATTGTTCAAACTTAAGTCTATGATCAAAAACTGCTAAGTATGCATGTGCTTATAAACTTACGAGAATAGGATTTATAGTGAATTAGAAATAATAATATTTTGAAGCGTAAAATATTAAATTATTATGTATAACATCAATATGAAAATATAAAATAATAATTTAAGTTTGTCAATTGTTTGAAAATAATGCCTCTTTAGCTGAAGGTCTATCGAAAACAGCATGTCTACTCTCTCGGGGTAGGGGAAAGGTCTGCGGACACGCTACCCTCCTCAGACCTTACTTAAGGGAACTCACTTGAGTTTTTTTTTGTTGTTGTAATTGTTTGAAGGAAATAAGTCTCCAAATGAAAGGATCAATTTTATTAGCATAACAGAACTAAAAGGAGAGACATTATTTGGTCAGAGGGAGTTTGATTTAAAGAAAGCTTTCAATAATTGGTACATCACTATTGTTAAGAAGCACTAACCTATGTGTTTAAGAATTGATAAACTAGGAATTGCAACAAGCTATCTTATTTATGTATAAAAACTAGTTGAAGGAGATAAAGTAGCCTGATCAATTGGCAACAATTAGATACATATGATCAAATCTACACTCTGTTTGCGTTTGTTCGACAACATAACTTATACAGTAAATTTAGGAATTCAAACCAATTATGAGGTTAAATCAGAGGTTCCTATACATATATTCAATCCTTGCTTCTCTCCTGCAATGGAGGATATTTGATCAATTACAGTTAGAAGTAAGGAAAAGATAAGATTAGAAGACTTGATGAAGTAGGATTATCTAAATCTGGATCAGTTGATTGATCGGAATTGTGTACCTTTGTGCTCAATTTGCACCAATATGAACAACTCTGTCAAGTCCAACATGTTTGTTTTCACCTGATTCAGATGTGGACTCTCCACTTATTCTGGTTGTATTATTAGAATCAGCCCCTGCCGAGTTTTGCATAACAGTCCTAGAAGGCGGTATTTCATGGTCATGCTGCCCTTCATACGCTGTAACAACTAATTTTGGATCATGGGATGCCCTCTCCACATGCTTCTTTGCAGGGCAACCGGCACTTGAGCATCTGTAGTAACTCCTACATATAACGGAAGCTCTGGATTTATAGTGAGAGTGCAAAAGCATTGCAGATGCAACAAGATGTTTGAACTGTGTAAACAAAGCGAGAAAGAGCACAAGAACCAGGGGGGTGGGGTGGAAGAAAAGAGAACAAGAAAAGCGTAAAATCTTTTAACATTATCAAAGACGAGAGGTATGATCCGAAACAACATGCATACTGAAAAATAGAATCTGGGGGCAAGAGAAACAGAAAGCTGATCATATCAGCTTATATATACAAGACATACGCTGCAGTAAGTAGGCCTAGTGTTTTCCTTTTTTTCTTTTAATCGGATTAACTAGGTCCAGTGTTTCATTCTATTCATTACCTCGCAAGATATGATCGTAAAGTGACTATTTACATTCTCCAATCTCACTTTTAGAAATAAACATAACTTTTGACAGGAAGGGGACATGTTAGCAGAAGATGAGAAGTTCAACTTGTAAAATTAGTCAACATCAAGTGAGTAATCAATCAAAAACGAACCAACAAGGAAAGAGTAGACAAATTGTTTAGTACTAGTATAAAAAGAGCCCAAATGGAGCGTTATGGCTACAGATATTTAATATAAGCCCAAATGGAGCGTTATGGCTACAGATATTTAATATAACCAATCCCGACTAGTTTGGAATTGATACATAGTTGATTGTATATACTTTTATTGACCAAAATCCGCAATAATATTTGTATTAAATTTTTTACAAAAGTAGAATAATAATAGCTCAAGTCGATTTTTCTGTAAATGAGATACGGTTGCTTTTAGTCAATCTGCAAACAAATTTTAGATGAATGTACAGTTCCATATGGTTCTGTAGAAGCAAAAGAGCATGAGTCAACCTATGTATATTGTATTTATGGAATACATTTTCAAAGACTGCTAATTACTTAGTCCAGATTAGAACAGTATTATTTTTAGCAAGAAAATGCAATGTGGTTCTTTAACAGATTTTGGGGTGTGTCATATCTATAAAGATCTACAAGAATGTCACAGTACAGTATTGGGTTTTGAAAGGCTAACGACAACAAGATATAGTATTATTGACAAGAGAAAGCAGATTGGATCCACTGGTATTGATAGACTGAGAAAGAAATAGTCAAGCAGGCTACTAATGGGACGAAAAATAGAACATTTGGCCTTACAAGGTAGGGTTAAAGAAGGTGAACATAGAGAAATGGCAAGCCGCATCGGATAAGGAGGATCATGTAAGAGTAAGACCATATAGGAGGGCTTAGTATTTTTGAAGTTAAATCGAGAAGAGTGAAAGGGACACCCGTGCAAGCAAGAGTTATGCCATTTTCGGACTAATTTAGGACAACTTAAAAAAGAAAGGTGGACATTCAACATGAGATGAAGGCAGCAATTATTCTGATAGGCGACATTCATTGCTTCCGTTCCTTTCACGGTTTACAGTGGAAGAATAGGAATGCTTTGTAAACAATCATAACAAGAAAGCAACTCAAGGTTAAGAGGTGATAAGAAAAAGCTATTTTGCATGGGCAAAGATTTACAAACATGTTTTTAAAGCAAAGAAAATAGTTACCTAGGATTTGGATTTCCTTTTACCAGTTTTTGCCCATATTTGCGCCACCGATACCCATCATTGACTATATCCACTTCACTCCTTGTTTGAACAATGTGCTGTGGTTCACTATGAGACTTAATAGGTGGAATCTCATCACTTCTAGGTACTTCTCTCTTCCTGTTGCAAAACAATTGCACAACTATCAACTCTAAGAGAGTGTCTAGACCTGAAAACTGAAGACAAATAAATAAGGTTTTGGCTATCACATACTGTCTCTTTGCGTCCGGACCACCACTATTATCGGCCTCATCTCCTGATTTATGTGGCTTCAGAACTGTATCTGTTGCGCTACCACCAGCTGGTACAATAGCCGCTGAAAGCGAGCTCTCCGATGGTTCGATAGATTGACATGTTTGACCAATCACAATAGATTTCTTACCTTCAGCTAATTAGGTAACTCATTAAAATTAAATACTTATCTAGATCGAATAAAACAATTGACTCAGCAATCTTAAGTACCTTCCCGTGATGTTCCCATTGGCATGTTTGTTTGTTTCAATTGCATAGGCACTACAAACTCGGGGGAGATTTGGGGACTATCTAAAGGTTTTGGATGTTCATGCTTTGCGATATAGTGGATATTGGTAATATGCCCATCATGTGATCTCTCCACTTGCTTTTTTGCAAGACAATTAGGGGACGTGCATTTGTAATAACTCCGAGTAAACTCATTTCCTCTAACAAGTTTCTGACCATATTTTCGCCAGTTATATCCATCTTCAGATGGTTTTTCAGGTGATCTGAAAGGAGTGATTTCTTGATCAGATGGCAAAGCCTGGACACTCGTATCAAGGTTCCGCCTTGGTTGCAACTTATCCAAAGCTTTCTCAGGCCTTGTGGAACAAGTTACTTGTTCTTGATTAGGTTGAGATACAACAACTTCCATTTTCTCACGTTGTATATGTTGTGAAGATTCTGAAGCTTTCCCAGGTACTAAGGAAACGTTTCTGTCTTTTACAGGAGAATCTGATTCACAAGATTTTATGTATGGTTCCTTCTTTGGTAGAACAGAAACTCGACTAGATTCTGATGCCTTTGCCAAAGAATCGGGGCTCAGTCCCTTAAGTAGTTCATCAGAAACAACTTCAGCTGAAACTGAATCACAGGTTCCTTTCTCTTTTGACTCTGATCTGTTGGTGAGAGTGTCAGGGTCCGGTTTCTGCTGAAATTTTTCAATCCCTTCAACGACACTCTTCTTTGGCTTGACTTCACCCGATACTTCTTGGCATGTCGTAGAAAGTGCATTTTCATCTTGATTACTTTGTGATGACTTTTCCAAAGCATCGGGGCTCACTCTCTTCTGTAGTTCACCAGAAATAACTTCAGCTGACATTGACTCACAGATTCCTTTCTCTTTTGACTCTGATCTGTAAGTAACAGCGTCAAGGTCCTGTTTCCGCTGTAATTTTTCAGAGGAAACTTCATCTGTCACATCTTTATTATGTGTACCCATTCAACCTGGAAAAGTATTTGAAGCAAATACACCAAAGTATCACATTTTAGGCAGGGGAATAAAGTACAAGTATACGGGCATATGCAACGTATGGATGCGCTATTCCCATAAAATGCAGCACATAAGTGTGTCCCCACTGTCTATTTAGAACACATCGAACATTTAGATATTAATAGCATGCAAAGACAGATAACATTTTTTACTGGAAAAGGATAACAGCACATACTGAACTCAAGCAGATAACAGGCAGAAAAGCTATGGGAATTAATAATAGATACTATAATGATCGACTATACCTAAATCACAAACTGGTGAGCTTGGCTATAGATTCTTTATATCCATTTCGCTTTGTTCAAGTCTCATTCATTATAATACTAAATAATTTGTTTTTTAAAGGTAAGTTAGGGATTCCAGAAATTCATGTAAATTACAAGACCTATCGTAATGTAAGTGTAGCAACAACAAACCAACAATTAAGCGCTGATTCCAGCTAGCTGGCATTGTTATATGCAGATCCTTTTTTCAAAATTTTCGGGTAATTTTCATTGATCACTAAATTGACAATGATAGCCGACCACAACTAGTTTAGATTGAGGCGTGGTTGATAAGATGATTGGCTTACTAGACAAACATAGACGTGTCCAAATTAGGAGGATATACCTACTACTCCCCCATCTCATTTTATGTGACAGTGTTTGACTGGGCATGAAATTTAAGAAAGAAAAACTTTTGAAACTTGTAGTCTAAAACAAGCCATAGACATTTACGTGGCTATAAATCTATCTCACTAAGGTAAAATGAGAAGTTTAAGATTAAATTGTTTCTAAGTGCCATTCTTTTTGGGACAAACTAAAAAGAAAGTATGGCACATAAAAAGGATCAGACGGGAATGATTCTTCTATCCCTAATTAGATGCTGAATAGTTAATACATATATTAAGATTCTTCAGAATAGTATCTAATACTAATAGTAGTACATAAATTTCAGAATCAAAAAAATAATTTTTTGAAAAAAAAAAGAAGGTGAACAGTATTCTCAAGACCCTCCCTTGTACCCAATTCTCACAAGCCCTCAAAATTGGTTAAAGAAAATTAACTAGCAAAAAAGAGAAACAATAGAACATAAGCCCTAAAATGTCAAGAAATTTCTCAAACACAAACAAAACATTAAACACCTAGACAGATTATAACACAAAAAAGAGCAGTAGAAAGTCAAACAGGACAAAGCGCTATGATGTCAGAAGACAATTCGCACCTTTTGCCCCTGTTCTTTGGGGCTGAAAGCTCTGCCAATTCTCAGGTAATTGTGGATGATCAAAAGAGGAGAAGAGAAGAGGTGGTGATTTCACCAGTTTTTAGCAGAATTGACTTGGACCAAGTACTACTTTTTTATAGCTCTCAACAAATACCATACCAACAAAAGCAGGTAATCAAAAAGGATGTCTATGTCACTGTGTGTGTGTGTGTGTTTTTGAAAGACAAGTACTTTAACCCTCTTTTGAGGATTAATTAGCAAAATTTCATAGGAAGAATGATCAGCTTTTTGCTTTTGAGATTGATGAGTTAAGCTAAGAGGGGTGGTTCACGTGTAAGAGCATCAACGGACCTCAAAAGACCAAAATATTAGTAGTAGAATCTTATTCCTATGTTGGACTTGGTACTGTTATTAAAAACACACGTGGCCTAATGGCGTTGGTTCTTGTCAGTTGTCTGAGGTTTTATTTTGTTATGTCTTTTTCCTTTTTTACCGTGTACTGACAAACCTCTTTTGTTATAATTACTATCTTACTTCTACTTGTTTACTTTTGACCTTGTACCCTCCTTAATAAATAATAAATAAAATACATAATTTACAATGATATTCATATTAATTGATGCATATTTTTAATAGATTTGAGAAAATAATTTAAAATGAGTAATTAATAATGTGATATAACAGGAAAAAAAGAAATTATCTTATCTTGATATGCTAAAAGTGATAAGTAAAAGCGAAAATTTATTTTTAGAATACCGGACAAGTAAAAGTGAACAGAGGGAGTATATTCTTGGCCAGAGGTGAATCCAGTATTTGAGACTTATGGGTTCCTACCGTAATTTTAAATTAATATGTAATAATAACTGGGTTCAATGTTAGATATTTACAAATATTTAATGAATTTCTTAATATAAATACAAAATCTACGCAAGAGTTACTGAATTTTCGAAAACCCGTATTCAATGCTCTAGGTCCGCCCATGTTCTTGGCCCGCCCTAAAAGATAAGCCGACAAATGTGTATGTTTTGTAAGTTTAAGTCAAAATATACATGTTATATACATAATTAATGTCTATATTTTATATTTTATATATTTAATCTAGCGCCCGTAATTAATTTCAGCCAATGCCCAAACTGAAAAAGTCCTTTTTTACTTTGCTTTTTGTTATTTTTCTCATTCTTCTATGGATTGGGTCAGCTTTGCTATAGATAGAATTAAAAGATGGACGGAGGAAAAGCACAATCATACTTTCACCAGAAAAGAAAACGTTCGACCCACGTCTACGGCAACCGATTTCGTTTTCTTTTTCTGAATATTCTCTTTATTTTACTGGTTTTCATTGTAAGGTGGCACTAGAACAGAAATCTGTTTCTGCAAATTATTTTCCACTAAACACAAGACTTGTTTTGCCAAAAAAAAAAGTGTTATTTCCGACTGTAAACGTAATAAGAATCCCTCGGATCATAATTCCTTTTCCTTTTTCCAGAATTTTATTTAAATTTTCTAGGGTTTGATCTCGAAATCTCTTCTCATATGAACTGAACGTAAAGGGGCAGGTGGAAAACCTCCAATTTATTTTGAGAAAGATCTACCAAATAAAGTTGAAATGGAACAGATAGACCTAGTCAACAATTGTTTTGTACAGTGACAATATAATGGAGACAGGCAGGTATTTGAATTGTCTATCTAACATTTGAAGCATACTAAAAACACCAGATATCTTTTAACTTAAGCTAGAATCCAGGGCTACTGTCCAGCTTTCAAAAATGCCACAGATATCGTTCCACCTATAAACATAACCATTCTAACAATACTTCTGAGTTCTGGGTAAAGCTCGTCATTTAAGTATAGAGTTTAACTCCAACGGAAGAATCCCATTGTTTGCAGCGTAAAATACAGCTATTGCAATCAGAAGGACGAGTATAACGATCCACAAGCTCAGACCTGCAAATGAAAACAATATGTTTAATAACAATTACCACAACAAAAGTCGATTATGCATGCGCAAAAGCATGGCACTGGATGGCAAGAATATAAAGAGAGACCTGTTTGCAGTATAATCGCTATCAGCCAGTTGGACAGATTTGCTTACAAGTTAATTCAGGTATTAATGACTTGACCAAACTTGAATCAATTCAAATGCTAACAAAGAATAAAACTCACACACACATATGCAGTTGTTTCCTACTAGTTTCATGTTATAAGTAATACTAACTTTTTTCTTAGATGAAGATCAATTTAAACTAAACTAATCAAGATCAATAGCAGAAGCTTAGAAACTACAAATGTTAGCTCATTTCCAGAACTCGGTCAGCTACCTGCTAGCAACCACCCCACACAAACAAAGCTGTCTCTACCATCATGTTCCTGATATGGAAATTGAATACTCACCACTTTTCTTCTCTTCCTTTATAATTGTCACTCTCACTCTTGAATCCATGGAGGCAGAGAGCAAAGCCCTGAAGAAAGCAAAAATTTTAGAATTGTTTGTGCTAAGTGCAGGCTTTTATAGCTATTAACAGGAACATGAAAAACATTTAGGACCTCGAATCTTCCGAGAACTTCAATGTCGTCACAAGACCAAGATGAGCCTTTTTCACCACATTTTGCACTTGCAAATTGTTAGAAGAAACTATCAGTACATCTCCCTCGATTGTTCCTCTGCAAAGAAAGTGAAACAGAGGCAGCATTTAGGTCCCCCAATAACATATTCTATGCAACATCATTATTACTTCTACAGTTCAGTGTTATAAGATGTCGACAAGATGGTGGTAGTTTCACATGGACCGTCATGTATGACAAGAACTTATGGAAAAGCCACAGAAAATTTTACAACTTAAATGTAAGTTGTTCTTAAGCATATTAGCCGGAGACATTGGCATATTCAATAGTCCCAGGGAACAGTTTCATGATGTCTCTTAAGCAACAAGCTACAATCTGACAAAATACTCTGAGATTTGGTAGATCTCTGAGCATCTTCAATGATACATATCTAATCATACGAGAGCAAGCATTGTGATAATATGTTCCATCAAATGATACTTATTTTTTACTGTTGTTGGTCCAGGCTAGTTTGTGCACACCTCAACTAATCCACCACGCAGCCTCTTACAACCCACAAGCACAGGTGGTCAGGTAACTGCTCATCAAGATTAGAGCAGGTGGACCCACAGTAATGTTATAGCTAAGCTTCAAACCTGGAATCTCCAGGTATGCTGATCCTATGCGCCAACACCTCCACCATTGCCTTTGGGACTGCTTTTCTCCTCTTTGATTATTAAATATATTTATTTAATGACCATATTATTAAATTTATTAAGCAGTAAATAAGCTGCTTTTGTAGCCAAATGCTCAAACTCTTTGAAAGGCAGCACTAAGCTTAGCACATCATATAAATGAACTTTCCAACTATTAGAAAGTCCAGCTATATGGAGTGTTAAGCTGTGGGATGAGATAGCCTACAGTTGTTTACAGACATTCGCGGAAGAGAAACCAACAAAAGAGTCTTACATTGCCAGAAGCTTTCCATTGGGTGAAATATTAAAGGCACAAACAGGATCACGAACAACACGTTTTGATCTTATCCTCTTCCACGTAGTAGTACTCCACTTCGAAATACTTCCACCTTGATCTTTGCAAATAGAAGAATATAGGGTTAATTTTTCAGATGCCAACTCAAACACTATCTAAAAATAGGTAATTCAGATAAAATTCCAATATAGCATATCCACCTCGCATCGTGGTGATGTATAGAACCTGATTCTCATCATTAACTGGTGAGAATCTACAATAGCCAAAAATCTCATCCTGGGTACAGAAGACGCTTCTTGTCAGATAACTAATAGCAACACTTAGAAAGGATTGGGTATGTGCCCACACAACTTCCTCGAATTGGGAATATATGAGAATCCACATGTAATTACTCTTATCTTATCAAAAAACAAGAATCTACATGTAAGAGAGAATTAGTTCATGTAAAACCAAATGACAGGAGAAACAAAACATATAAGAATGACCTAGTCTGCTTTTTGGGTAGTCTTAAGTGTCAATTAGACTGGAAAGGAGACTGCATCATATTTTCCCTTTCTTTTGGTGGAGAAAAAGAGAAACACAACACAACGAGCATCTTCCAGCAATTAAAAGCCATTCATAGATATTCTTACATTTTCTTTCATCAAAGAAGCTACAGATGTTGATTTAGAGACGTCCCAAATACGGCAAGGGCCGCTCCCAACAGATACAAGAAATTTTCCATCAGGACTGCATACACAACCAAAAGCATTTGAGTCAAAATTCCTCTACCATAAAACATATAGCTTGTAGTGCTTAAATTAAATGCACTGATAAATTTTATGAACCTGAAGTCTAGATCCTTCACAGAAGCATGAGCATTAGCCTCATCAAGACTAATTTCCATGCTCGGCCACTTGAAAACCCTCAACTTGCCATCCTGTACTGCACCAAAATTCAATAATCAATATAATTATGATTTACCTGCCAAACAAGCTCATGTAGCTCCATACTTCACTCTTTAGAAAGGAAAACAAGAAGAAAGAAGCAGATGCTGAGAAGAAGAGGCCCAGGTCTCTCCCTCCGTGATCTAACAAAATCAATAAATCATGCCCCAATTTGAATCTAGATACAACGAATATTCTCCAAATAAAACTTGACAAAACAAACAGAACCTTTGGGGATAGGATGACAGCCTGTTCAGAATGATTGTGTTATCTAGATTAGACCACCAAGCCAAGTTGCTAAATTTAAACATAGAGGAAGAGAACAATATTTTTTTATTAGAGCAATATAACAAATAGAGAAGAACAAATTGTATATCTGCTTAATAGACTGTAGTTTAAACTAAAGAAAAATTTACTTGTTAACCTCCCCAACTACTTGGTATCTCAACATAGCTGATTGATCGTTGGTTGATTTCCTGGTTAACTTGCTCCTTAACCATCAACGTGTGGTATCCATAGACAGCTCAAAACCACCGAGTATTATGGTCATAACTGTTCTGCAGGCTCATTTTACAGCCTGAAGAAAATGATTTTGAATATCCATTTACACATTAGCCAACACATTACTGGCAGTTAGATAGCGATGGAGGGCATGATGTCTTAACTTGGTCACACCCACAAAGATGGCTAATAACTTCTGTCAATTCCCAGACTTTTTTTGTTAATTACAAAGAGTCAAAAAGAAGCAGCAAGCATAGAATGAGAGAGAGGTAGGAAAAGACTAGCATGAAAGTCCATACTTCCTGGTAGAAATCTATTCTCTTCTTTAGTTATCTATTTAGCATCTAAGGCCTTCTCCTTAAACTGTGCACCATGAAGAGATTCTCAGAAAATTCTAAAATGGAAAAGGACTTGTTTAAAGTTATCTT